GTTTCCTTTGGACTGTTTCCTTTCGATTGTTTGGATGTTGGACGTTTCATTTTGATATCTCTCGTTGGACGTTTCATTTTGATACCTCTTAAGCCACTTTTTCTTCGGCATATTTCCTATACTTGTTTGTTCCCTTCTCACTTCTTGAATTGGTGCGTTCAACGAGCTTGCGCCATTCTGATCAATTTCGTTGAATTCTATTTGTTCCTCTCTCACATAAGGCGCTGATAAAGCTGATGGTCCAATCCGTCCCTCAGTTATTCTTGACATTGACAGATCTAACGGTTCTGTTTGCGGCTCCTTAAATTATATGATGTTATCAAGTTTGAACTGCGCTAAAATTTTAAAACCTTGGAAATATTGCAGCGTTATCTTTTATTTTTGAACTTTAAATGAACTTACGATAGTTTGAGTGTCACTCAGTTGGAAGAGGAAGAAGATGAAAGGAATGAAATGCATATTGATGAGAGTGATTTCTGGTCAATTCTGAAAAAAATATTCAAATTTACTAGTATACTGAATAGTTGCTTATAGGAATTAGCACCGTCTGACGTTTGACATCCAGTAAATACCTTTCTAAATATGTTATCATTGAAAATGAAACTGGTACGCATTCATTGCTTGCATAACATGAACACCTTTTATTCAGTCGTCAAACGCAACAATTTATCCATTCTGGGGATTGGTCACAAATATTCCAAAGCAAATTTCGCGCAAACTTGCACTGTTACAAATTTGTTAAAAGGATAATTTGTTCAAAAAAGAGTGTTTATTTACATGCTTATTGTGGAGTCCTAAAATCTCATAACTAAGATTTTGAAGAGCAGTTGGCATTCTTTGCCGAAATGAGGCCTTACTAAACAAAATTTAACAGAAGACAGTTTAACAAATACCATCCAATCATTTGTATTTGGTGCTGGTAGAGGATGCCATATATAAATACTAATTTTGATGGGAGTGGCTATTCATATGTATCGATAACTTTTGTTCACGTGTAATCATGTGACAGTAGCATTCACTATTTAATCCCTTATACTGAATAATTTTATTTTAGCTGCCATATTGCGTTGTGGAAAATAATTAGTTATGCAAGGCTGTCGCGACATTTTTTTTTGCACATTTTTATTCCGTTTCGTTTCGATTTCGAGAAAGGGAAAAACTGCATTGCTTTATCGCTTACTATTTTTTAAACAAAATAAATAGTATTATAATTCTTTCAGGTGTTTATTTACTAAATATATTCCATTTAAAATTATCTTCTGAGGAAGTTAATACTTCTAAGCGAGTTAATAAATCACTTAATTTTATCTTTCTTGATTTAAGGCCATGGAGTTTGTCAATTTCTTTGGGG